ATCAGAGGAGAAAAATGCAATGCAGGGGTAAACATAGCTGGCTTGGTAGATAGAAGGAAGGTTAATAGAGAAGAGCAGGAATGAAGCTCATGAAAAAAGAAAGAGAAGTACATCACAGTGATTGATACTGATCTGATTGACTTTTGCTTGATATTGACGTTTCCTTGCAATGTTGGATTGCTTGCTCACTGCATTTCTTCCTGTGCTCTTAAGTTCAAGTAATGGTCCTAATGGATGCACAAGGAAACTAAGGAATGATATTTTTCAAAACATAATCCAGTGGATCTACAAAAAGTCATGCAATGTGCTTTTCTCAAACCTTTCAGTGGTTCTTCCAAGATCAAGAACATGACACTGTTCTGGTGATTTTATTTGAGAGAAGAGAAGCTAAAAGGCATAACTTGAACTAGTTTTAAGAACATATGCAACTTGACATATGTAATTACCAATAGATCGTGCTTTAGAACTTCAACGATAACTAAGTCTTATCTATAATTCTAAAGAAGTTTTAAAATTGTTAAGTGATTCATTTTTCTCCATTTTATCCTGTAAATTTAAATAATTCTGAAGAAGTTCTAAAGTTTTTCAGTGATGTATCTTTCTTCACTTTATGCTATTAATTTTCTAACATAAATTTTTTAATCCCAATGCTGTTATGCTGATAACAAAGCTCTTTTTATCATTTTTCTTGAATTTTAAATCCTTCTGATGATGATTCACGGATATGAAATTTTCTTGCAGCCTTTAAAAAGGAAGAATGATGTGGTAGATGTTGAAGTTGAGTCTAATGATCAGAACCATGGTCTTGGTTATACCGATGCTGCCAATGTTTCGGCAAAAACACCTGTATCGGGAAAAGTTGGAAAAGCACAAAAAGCTCCAAGGATGACAAAGGCGAGTAGATCTGGTTCTCAAACTCCTGCGACAAATGTTGGTGAGACTTTTTTGTTGGAAGTCTTACGTGCTTCTCATTTTGATGTCTCCTAAAAGTAGTTGTCGGTTGCAATAACAAATTGAAAACCAGAAGAGAATCAGGCTTATGCGTGCATATCAGTGAAAAAGGCTAAACATTGGAATCATTTGCAGGTTCTCCTTCGGGCAATCATCTCACGCCAGTTGGTCCATGTCGCTATGATAGCTCCCTTGGTAAATATTGTTGGGGCCTTGATTTTGGGGGGAAACAAATTCTGGCCATACTTTATTGTCACTTGGTTTTCTGTGGCCTATTTCCTATGTTGATAATTCTATAGGATTATTTCTGTACGTTAAGTATGCTACAGTTAGATTGAATGATGAATGTGCTTCAAATTGCTCAGGTTTGTTGACAAAGAAGTTCATTAATCTGATTAAACATGCTGAAGATGGCATCCTTGATCTAAATAAAGCTGCTGACACATTAGAGGTAACTATTTTACAGATCTGAACAATGGTCCAAATTTTATTGATGTTATTTTAGCTGAAGAGATACTGCCATAACAGGTGCAGAAAAGGCGTATATATGACATAACAAATGTCCTAGAAGGCATTGGACTCATTGAAAAGAAACTCAAGAACAGGATTCAGTGGAAGTATGCTCAAATATTTGCTGTGATGAAGATTGTCTTGTGTAAATGTACTTCTTTCCTGGATTTACTAAAAATTTGAAAAGTTCCTAACACTTGTTCTTTGGTCAGGGGTCTAGATGTATCAAGACCTGGGGAGGTTGATGAGAGTGTTGCTAGCTTGCAGGTTCGTCGAGACCACTGTTCTCCTTGGCATTTCTGGTCCTTAACTTTTCTGTGCATTTCAATCTCTTGAGATGCTATCGAAGTGATCCCTAAATGCATGTGATCCCCAATGAGTGTTGCTAGCTTGCAGGCTTGTAGAGATCACTGTTCTACCTGGCATTTCTGGTCCTTAACTTTTCTGTGCATTTCAATCTCTTGAGATGCTATCGAAGTGATCCCCAAATGCATGTGTTGCCTTAGTAATGAGTACAATGAGTACTCAATACTACCTTTGTCATTTCTTCACATTGCATTATTAACATTACAGTAGAGATGTAATTCTAAAAGTCTGAAAATGAATGGATTACTTGACCATCTTGTTTGGTTTAAATTCCCTTTGACTCCATATTGAAACCATCAATGAAGAACAATGTGAAAATGCTTGCACGATCAGAAATTTAGGTAACGTAGTTCACCTTGCTAATAAAAATATTGCTCGCTCTTCTGTTATTGAAGATTTTTCAATTCTTTCTTTTGTCCGAGAGTTTTCATGTAACACGTGATGGTATTGCTGATTTTATGAGTTATTCCTTGTAGAAAGCAAAACCAGATTAAGCATGTCATTTGTTTGAGGAAATTGAGTATGTGTAGTTCTTTGGAACATGAAGAAAGGATTCCTGTACCTAAGCTAATATGGAAGTGCAAAAATATGTCGCAGCTGAACCTAGAAGAAACCATGTTATAACTTGGCATGAAATTCATATTATCAGTAAATGAGTCATCCTTTGAGATTGTCGTCATGCACTAATGAAGCTAGTCCAAAGAGATAAACATGTGCCTTTCCTTCAGCTTTTTTTGTTGGGTTGTTCTGGAATATTTTTTCATTGTGTTCTCTCGCTTTGCAGGCGGATATAGAAAATTTAACAATGGAAGAGCACAGATTAGATGACCAAATAAGGTTCTGTTCTAAAGCCCACATTGTACAAATTTTACATGTTTGCTTAGGTCTATCATGACGATGCTAACGCTACTGAAATATTGTCTTACAGAGAAATGCAGGAAAGGTTGAGAGACCTGAGTGAAGCTGAGAATAACCAAAAGTAATTTCATTCTTCTGCCTTTAATAACGAATCTTGTTTTCTGAGTATCATTTAGCATGTATTTGTTGAAGTTTATTTGCTCATCTGTTGGTTCTCATCTTCACCTTGCTCTCATCAGATGGCTATTCGTTACTGAAGAAGACATTAAGAGTTTACCTTGCTTCCAGGTGGATATTAGTGCTCTATAACTGGTAACATTTCCTGTCTTTCAATTCTAACTCCGAGCTGACTTGTGTTTTTGTATTCAATATTGTTAGAATGAAACGTTAATAGCAATTAAAGCTCCTCATGGCACTACCTTGGAAGTTCCAGATCCTGATGAGGTAATTGTTGATGCTTCTTGCTTTTGGTTTATGTAATCAAAGTCTATCGTTCCGAAACTAGTTCTATATGCAATATAGTGAGGCAACATTCCTTTCTTCTCCAGGCTGTTGACTATCCCCAGAGGAGATACAGAATAGTTCTCAGGAGTACAATGGGACCAATTGATGTTTACCTTGTCAGGTATTTTGTTCTAAATGATAAAATGATATTTTGCCTTCCTGGTTCATATGGACTCTATGCGGGACTAGACATTAGATATATTATGTTAGGATGACATTGAATCTGATGCTATCTATTCTGATATTTTCATTAAATTTTAGTGTTGTTTTCTCAGTCCTTGATAGTGCATTGGATGCAATCTGCTGCTCATTTGTTTCTGATTCTAATTTTTGTTTTCCTTTCTGGATGATTGTGTTTTAAGTCAATTCGAGGAAAAATTTGAGGAGATTAATGCAGTCGAGGCACCTCCAGACATTCCTTCAACATCGGGGGTGAATGAGAATTTAGCTACGACATCAGTGACCAAGGAGAGTGGAGGAGACAACATTCAAATCGAAGAGCAGGAAGATAATAGGATGTGCTCAGATATAGGCACATCGCAAGATTTTGTGAGTGGGATCATGAAAATTGTTCCTGATGTTGATGTAAGTCCTTATTCAGTACCATATATGATTTCTTATTTCTTAGCATCTTAGATGAGTGTTGGGAACATGATCCAGTTAAAATTGATCATGTCTTGGAAGCCACCTCATCCATTCAGTTGAGGACATCTAATTGAAGATCTCTTCTAGGAAGTGTAGCGGACCTCCTAATTTTTCCAGTATTGAGAATTTTAGATGGCATGCTGATCTCATAGTTTTCCCAGACTAAAAACCACTGTCTTTTGAAAGAAAAATCAGAGAGGGAGACGCTATTTTCCTTCCACGTACATTGAAAATCTTAATTCGGGAGAGCGGTTTCTACCTCATTTTCAGCTAATGCAACTCTTTTCCTCCTTGCAGAGTGATGCAGATTACTGGCTTTTGTCAGATGCTGATGTTAGCATCACAGACATGTGGAGAACTGAATGTATCCTTTCCTATTGTTTGTCTGTTTTTCTCTGCTGTGTTTAAAATCTCTTCGTGGATTACAATAATGTATGAATTTTGTGAATAAGATTCCTTGACTCTTGTGAATAGCTGGAGTTGATTGGGGCGATTTGAGCGCAATTCAAGAGAATTATGCCATGCCTAGTGTTAGTACGCCACGTGCACAAACTCCACCACCACATACAACAGAAGTGCCTTCTGCAACAAATGTTTCAGGCAGTTAAATAAGATTGATCAATCCTACTTGCCAATCCTGGGCATGCTGATTGCAGAAAACTGGAAGGAAGTGCCTGAAGCTTTTGATATAAAGTTCAGGTCCAGTAATTTCTCCATTTAAAACCCTTGAAAGACCTTGGAGTTGCATTAGATCACTTTCAGGATCCACGTACTGCCGGAATCTCCAGGAAGTCAATCTATGAAAGAGCTGGTAAACAGAAGTGGAGGCTGGTGGTTTTTTTGTACATTATGTATCTATACCCTGTAATATCAATAAATAGATAAAGTTATGTTATCATCAAACATTGGCCACTGTAAATTGTTTCCTTCACTACTACTTCCTGCTAGTTGATGACCTTCATAAGTGGATAGTTTGTCAGTCATATTATAATGGTAAATGCTAGTTGACTGCTTAAGCCCTGTTTCCAAATGACATGCTTCTGAGAATTGCTGAAATATTTGAGGCCAATTTTATCTGAAGTTCTGTTTGTTCAGACTACTGCAGTATTATGTGGGGATTGTTAACATTTTGTTTTAAGGCCTTCAGTCTGATCTAGATGATCACCTTTACAAGAATTCTTGCGTATTTAAAAGCGGTCAAAAACTCTGTCAAATAGTTATATTGCTGCCAAAGAAATACTACATATGTTGGTAACAAAAAATTGCCCAGCATCACTAATCAGCCAGGTCAGTTTTCTTTATCAACTTTCTTGCCAATCCAGCTTGCAACGATTGGAGTAAGGGCAACAGTAGGAGGAAATCTGATGGGAGATGCAGCCTTATGAGCAGCATAGGCCAAAGCAAAAGTCCCAACTTTTTCCCCAGCCTCGTTGGTGGAAATTCCTACCTGCAAGGCAGCAAGACCATGAACTCAAATTGTAACAATTATTCACAAAATAAAGTTAAATCCTGTAATTTTTGGAAGTTGATTGCCAGAGGCACACTACCTTCTGCAGCAAAGCTGGAACATCAACACCAGCGCTAATGAGAGCATAACAAAGGGCAAAGGAGATTAAAGAGAGGGTAATAGAGGTGGCCAAGTATGCTCCTCCATACTTTGCCAAGAGTTCCTTTGCTTGGTCCCCTTTTGATTTCTTTTCCTCATTTCCTTCATCTCCTTTCTCTTTTGAGCTGAATATCTACAAATTGGCAGAGGCAGACCAAATTTTGGCATCATTGATCCAACCAATTTGCTGGCATTAACCCAAGGCTCATAAGCACTATATATAGCTAATTCTTGAATTACAGGGACAGATTAGGTTGGCAATTTGGACCCTTAGTTTCGGAGTTCCATTCAATACCTTAAAAACTTCTAATGTACTATGCCAAACAACCATTAGTCGGTAATACTAATCGCATATCGACCCATAAATCTTACTTTTTATTTACTGCTAAAATAACTTTCAGAATGGCCAAAAAAAATGGCTAATTAAGCTAACCACTTAGTCATTATGCATCGAAGATTAAAAAAAAATAGCATTTAGTTAGTTTGGGCATTAATTAACTTATCAAAATTGCAAAGAATAGTTGTCATATTCTTACAACCAGATAAATTGGATAGATAAATGATTAATTGGGAAAAAGTCACAAGTCAGCTAGCTCCTGCACCAAGACTATGCTGTCATATTGAACAGATGTTAATATTCTTAACCAAATTCTAGTTCAGCAATTATGAAGATAAAGTCAGATGACTAAAACCCAGGAATATTCCTTTCCTGTCTTTGGAAAAATAAAAAAAGGAGCAAATATATTCCACAATCCCAGAACATGATGAAACTGACAAAAGAACAATGGATAAGCAGAATTTGGAAGGGAAAAGGAAGGTGGATACCTTCCAGAGCCCAACTTCAAGGCCATACTTCTTGGTAACATCTTCAGCTGAGGATGGTGCAGAAGACTTGATTTCCTCTGTTTTCTCCTTTACAGCTCTGAGTCTAAAACTTGTACTGTAATTAGACTTGGAACTGGAAGGGGAGATGGAAGAATTGCTGATGAGTGAGTTCAATTTCCTATCATTCTTCTTCCTGTGGAAGCAGAAGTAAGAAGGGACCTGCAGAGCTGTGGCCATGTGTCTGAACAAAATCTTGATAGTTGGACATACTCTAGGTACTAGTATTGTAACCCGTGTCATGCACGGATTTACATCTAATATAATAATAATAGTAAATAAAATATTTTAATATCTTATTTCTATTGTATTTATATACCTTATCTAAAACCTTAAAGTATATTAAAAAATATGAACAAATATTACAAAAAATATCTAAAGAACTATTATAAGCACACCAAATAACGTTATTATCCCTCCCTTCCACGCTCTCTCTTTTTGTGCCATTTTCTCTCAGCATTCTCTTACTTTTCATTATCCTTTTCTTCACCTTTTTAAGCCAAATTTTCTACATCCCTCCAACTCTTCTCCCTCCCACGAATTCTACCTTCTTTTCACTTTACTCTGTTTTTATCAAATTGTGCCATCTCTTATCAAATTTCACAACCTATTTACCTCCTATTTTACTACTCTTTCCACCCATTTACAGTTATAAATAGTGACCAATTTTTCAACTCGTTCTTCAACAAATGAGTATGGGTATGCAATTTTATTAGTTTCAAATGGATAACTCATTTAAATCCATTAATTAATAGCTATTAAATGGATAGATTGGGTTTACCTATTTAGAACCAATTAACTTAGACTTAGATTCAAATTCATTAGTAAGTAAATTTAAATTACTACTAATACAATAATTATATTCTACTTTTTGCAAAAGCATATTTAACGTTCTTTTCCTATTCTTTAATTTTTGTTAAATATCATCCTACTTCCTCCCTCCCTTTCATCAAAGTTTTAATTAACTCATTGAGTGTTAATTGATTTCTTGCCTTCTCACCCAAATTATTTTGAGATTCTTGTAGAGTGTGAAATTTGAAACTCACCACTATTGGTTCTTCTGTGTAATTTTTTTAGTTAAAAACATATTTATTAATATAATGTGCTCTTATTTTTATTGATTACAATGATATCTTATTTTGTTACTCAAAGAATATGAGAGAAAAAAAATAAAATTTGTAGTGGATCGTAAATGGGTAAAATACCTAAATTCATGTAAAACTATATCCATTTAATGCACATAAATCACTCATTTTGATAGTTTCATCTCAACTCACAACTAAAGATCCCTTGACTTTACCCTCTCCAACCCTATACTCTTATCTTTATACTCCTTTTACTATTTAGTATTTGTCATCTCACTTTTACCATTCCCAACCCTATACTCATATTTTTCTATTCTTTTTATTATTTAGAATTCGTTGCCTCACTTTTGAAGTGTGGTTTTTCAAATAAAAAGTTAGAATTATAGTCATCAAGAAAAAATAATGGGTATAATTTTGGTGAAATACTACTATTTTTTGTGATGATCACCCAAGATGATTGCTTAAACAACCCAAGATAATTGTTTAAACAAATATTTGTTTTAGAATTTTTGATAAAATCTCCAAAAAAATCATCTAAATGCTCCTTTTATTAATTTAAAATTCATATAAAAATTTTGTTTTATGTGCACTTTTTGATATACATGTTATATGAAAAATTATCTAAATAAGTTTTGCACATGTCAAAAATTATCTAGATAACGTTGTTTGTCAGAATGTTTATTTCATTGGTTAGAATAATTGTTTAATAGGATAAGTTTAAGACTAAAAAAATTGATTTAGTTACTATAGTTTAAATGGTTAAATAATGGTTATAATTGGATATATCATTTGAATGTGTTAACAAATCTATATGTATATACCTGGAAAGAAAGTGCTAAAAATGTTACTATGTAATTCATTAAAAAATGGGAATAATCACATTATTCCTCAATTTTGACAAATCAATCTTTACTAATCAAGAAGTAAAATGGGCTAAAGTGATAAAGTTGTAATGGGGTGAATAATTTTAATATGGGACTAATCAAATTTTTCAAATTTATTTTCTTTAATTATGGAAGTAAAAAAGGGGTTAAAGTCTTGAAAACGAACTATAAAAGATTTATTAAGCACTCATTTGAAGTGGAAAAGTTTTAAATTTTAAATTTGAATTGACATAGAATTAGTTGTAAATCACTATTTAAAACTTTTAAATTGAGTTTATGTATTAAAATAAACAAAAAATTCAGAAAAAAATATGGGAGATTTGGGCCCCTCCACTAAAACCTCCCCTACAATACTTATAGATATAGATTCTACATATTTCATTCTTTTGTTTCTAATAAACAACTGCAACTGGAGTATGGTACTTCTGGGATTAAACTCTGTCCTTTACAATAACTATATCTTCACCTAAAAAAGTTGCATATTCAGGAATATTCAGAGAGATTAATTAACTAAAAACAAGGATTAGATTACTGCTCCTATCTCCAGATAGGTCCAGATCATTATCTAGATAACCATGATAAAATCCAAACTGCATCTTAAATTCTTTCAAATTACTTTTTAGTTAAATTTCAAAAGAGTTTTAATTTTTAAACAACAGAGAAAATACCATCCTAATAAACTTCTTCCAAATCAGGTGATTACATTCGTTTCGCGAAAACTTCTTCCAGGTCTGTTTTTCGTTATTTTTCATATGTTATTCTCTCCATCCCCACAAATCTACAAGTCCAATTCAATGTTGGAAGTCTCAATGCGTCACAGTCATAGCTTTCCTACAGCAAAATCATGCAAAAATTCATGGACTTCATCAGCTCCAAAATATGTATCTTTAAGGGACATGATGCCTTATGGCCGTTCATTCACATTTTCTGGGATTGTTGACAGAAACCAAGGAAGATTAGCGCAGATGAAGAAGAAGTCTGCATCATTTTCCTCACCTCCAATGATTGTGAAAAGAAGCGCTTCTGAGAAGATCTTGGTTCTTGCAGTGTGGGAACATTTTCTTGAAGATCTAAAACGACCCTTGTCAAATTGCTTAAACCTCATCCATCAAAAATTTATTGTGAAAATCAGCCAGACTATTGGTAAGATTTTCGCAGCCATTCTTGATTTTTTAGGCTGCTGAATGACACTTGTCCAATTTTAACCTTAGTGATTAGACGGTTTTAATTAGTAGGTTTTAGACTAATAAATAGTCCATTGATAAATCTAGTCAATTAATCAACGGGCTTCCTCAAAGGTGACATGGATAGTTTTGGTGTTATGTCATTTTGTACTTTTTTTTTACTTCCTTCGTTTAGTTTATTAGGCATCAGTTTTAACCGTTTGGTTGCATGACTATGTCATCAGTTTTAGGCAGGTGATAGGAGATGAAAACAAATGTCTTCTTCATCAGCAGTTAACGTTAGGTCTATTTGTTTCTCTAGCATAACTTGTAATGTTATTTAACTAGAGATGTATTCCTTTGATTAAATAAATTTGAGAATAAATTTCTCACTCATTTGCACAATTTACAACGTTTGGATGTGACAATTTCCAATTGCATATTGCCTATTAGATTCTTTTTTTTTTTTCCTGAAACTGGCCTATTAGATTCGATTGCCTTTGGTTTAATAGTAGATATTCATGGTTTCTCTATTTAAGTTCAAACTCAATCATGACGTTTGAGTTTGGCTTTTGTGGTCAAATATAATGAGTTTCTTGTTTTGTCTTTGATACGATGAATTATTAGGCAGATGACATGAAGTTAAAAGCTAGATCATTTTTATAAGTCCAGCAAGTGTAAAAGTGTTTTCCCATTCCTGCAGCTGGTATATGCTCCAGCCTAAATCGAATAATATTTGATTTCAAAAGTGAATTTGAACAGGACAATTTAGTACCCCATATAATTAACTTGAGATACTGCAATGACAAAGAAAGATTTAAAGATTGCATAATGAATATAGAAGGAAAGATGAATTTTACAAGATTTCAAACCTCAAATCTAGCATCAGCATCACTGTGAATTTTACATGATTACCGTATACTAGTCATAAACTATGAATTATGTATAAAACTAGTTCTTTGATCAGTTTAAACTAGTTATTTGATTAAGGTATACTAGTTTATAAAGGGCTGATACCAAAAAAAAAAAAAACCTACACGTAGTGATGTTGATGCCATAAAAGCATCGTAGTTTTGCTAGATGATACAAAACTAACAAGGAAATACATCCAAAATGAAGACCAAGTCCACTTAAGAAGAAATCCATTACTATCTTGCCAACATGTACACTAACTCTATTGTCCTTTTGCTCTTACTCAACTACTATTGCAAACATGTACACTAATCCTATTTTCCTTTTGCTCTTACTCAACTACTAGGGATGTTAGGTGTTAGCTTTAAGCTTTTAGATACCACCTAGAGAAGTTAACAACTAGAAACTAGCTTTAAGCTTTCAGATACCATCCTAGAGTTACCATAAGGTTGTTAGCTTTATGTGATGGTAGTTTTAAGCTTACAAGTTAAAAAATAAAAATTAGCTTTAATTAATTAACCTTTCAGAAACCTTCCTATTTGTAGATTGGACACACAAAATGAAAAACAATAAATGTGTAATTGACTTCAAAATATGGTTAATTCATTGATTATGTGTAATTGAACCCAAAGTAGGATTTTATCATGATAACCTTCTAGACATATTATGATGATCAATGTACTCGGAAAATAAACTTTAGGATTGAACATTAAAAAAAAAAAAAGATGGCCACTTTTAGTCAGGATTGAACAGCCATTTTCAGTCTAATATAGTTCAAATGCATATTTATGTAATGAATTTAACTTTACAATTGAGTACCCAAAAAAAAAAAGGGATGCCAAATTTAGTCTAGTTGACTTGTGCTGCATTATCCACTTTTAACATAAACTTGGTATCTCTCATTCAATAATTGCCTTATCTAATCTTATAAGATAAACTTGATATCTCTCATTCAATAATTGCATTATCTAATCTTTTAAGATAAACTTGATTCGTCTCACTCAAAACTGACCCTTACACTAGAAACGTCTCACTCAAAACTGATCCTTAATTATTTCATTAACCATGATAGACCTTTAATCATTTCATTAACTATTGTGACCCTTAGTCAATAGTCATTTCCTTAACTATTGTAGCATGCATGCTTAACATCTGTTAGACTGTAA